GACCATCGCTGCCTCTAGTCTACTTTGAGCTGTAAATGAGTTATTTGTCTAAAAGGCCCAGAGGACTACAAGTAACTGGCACTGCCCATACTGGCCACTCTGTCTTGAATGTCTACCCAAAGTCCCTGAAGCATCAGCTTCAGCATGGAGTCAGAGCCAGGAATATATACTTGTGCTAAGAGCAACAAGTCCCTAGAAATATCCATGTCATTCACCATCTGCTAAAACAAAGATTGCAAGGTCACTTTTTTCAATCCCTGGAGAGTAGGTTAAAAAGATGACCCAAGAACTGGATGGAACTGTGCTGAATTTTGAAGTCTTTTTCTATTCTTGTAGTTCTGAAAAAGGAAAAGTGTTTCCTCTTCCCAATCCTTTACATCTCCCCAGGGCCTATCAACCTCACTCCAAGACTGAGATACCAAAATTCAAGATCAAGGAGGGACATTTTCCTTTTAAAAAATAACTTTGCCCAAACACTAAATTAACAGTCAAATTAATCACAGTCTTTTTATTCACTAAGTTGTTGTCAATGTCACTCTCAGAGTAAGCTGCATTTGTTCTCAGGAATGACAATGGGGACTTGTGACATTAACCCTATGTCCTGCTTTTAGAAACATCAGGGGGCATTAGCAAAGCTTCCTGATGGAAATGGTGGATCAAATATATTGTTTTATATTTAAGGATACTCGGAAAAATGCTTCCCACAGCCTTCTAAGTATGAACATATATTTTATGCACACTTTCTCTGGTCTTTATCACACCTGATGAGCACTACTATTTCTACTGGCAAAGTGAGCCAAGAAGAGGCTAAGAATATCACCTAGGCCACATCACTAGTAAACAGTGGATGAAAACCTGAATCTACGTGTGGTGGTTCCAAAGCTCTTTCCACTATGGACACTCACTTCCTGGGAATCCATGAGGTTTGCAAAGTCAAAATGCTGAGAGCTCTGTATCTCCACTTGTAGATACTGGGAGTCCCTCTCATAGGGTGCTGGGAGCAGCATTTATTTGATGAAATAACTTGTGTAAAGTGGTTGGGTCCGTGCCTAGCCCACAGTCAATTAAGTGCTCCTTATAAATGCTAGCTATTATTTCTTCCAAAGACTGTATGCCAAAGTTGTATAGCTGTCTTTTAACTGTTGCAGAATATATTTCCTATTTCCAACTAAGTATTATTATGATAGAAAAGAAAACTAGCTGGCAACAGAGAATTGACCTGGGTTCAGAGTTTGCTTTATTTCTCTGAGCATCTCTTTCTCCACCTGAAAAATGGAGAATGTGCACATGTGTTTGTGAAAGTACATCAGGAACAATGAACATATAAGCTACTAATCAGAGACAGCTACCTGCATCCTCAGCAAAACAAAGCTACAGGCCAAATGTGGCACAGGTGCCTGCAATGCCAGCACTCAGGAAGCTAACAAAGGAGGATTCCAGACTCTGTTGCAAAAATAAGAAGCAAAAAATACCACTTACTGTCACAAGTTTCTCCACCCCCTTTACAAAGTATAGAGAAACCTTTTTAGAGGATCAGAGCACCATTTTGATGCTTCTAAAAATAATATTCCTTTGTCCTTTTGAATCTAGTGCTCTCAAGTATATTCCTAGGTACATACATCTACATACATGCACATACCTATGTACGTGCACACACCTGGCTAATAAACTCTACGCAACTAAAAGATGTCATGTTAGGTAATGAGGCACCAAGTTTACCAGCTGCCCTGATCTAGCCTATTCTAGCCTACTTAGAAATTCTGTATACCACACTAGGTATACCAGTTTCCATATCTAATTCAGAATGATGTCATTCTAAGAGATATGTGTGTATGTATGTGTGTATGTATGTGTATATATGTAATTAAGTGTTTTAAATGTAATTAAATATGTAAAAAAAGGCTAGACATTGTGGTGTGCACCTGTAATCTCAATACTTGGAGGCTGAAGCAGGAGGATTGTTGAACATTAGGCCAACACGGCAACCAGGTGAGTTCCTGACTCATAAAAACCATGATTTACTTTCACGGTAACAGGTTTTTATTTCACACACACAAATACACATTGAGGTCTGGCTTGAATAAAAACTAATACTGTCAGTAAAAAACACAATTTTATCTCTGTACTTATTTTGTCTCCAAAACCATGACAGGTTTTGTTTACTTGCTTGTTATATTTTCCACATGTTAAGAATTAACAGTACTATTTCCATCTTTTTTTCCTATAATTTTTATTGTAAAGGTGATATACAAAGCTGTTACAGTTACACAGGTCAGTTATTGAGTACATTTCTTTTTGAACAGTGTCACCCCCTCCCTTATTTTCTCCCAGTTTTTTTTTTCCTCCCAACACACCTTCACTCGATGTTGTATAGTTCATTTCCAACACAGTGCCTAGTAAGTATCACTATTTACTATTTCCATCTTTGGTTATCATGCCAAACAAAATATGCTTTAGCTAGGTTTTGCGGCTTGTGCCTATAATATCTTCTTCTCAGGAGGAAGACAGTTTAAAATAAATTTGAGCAAAAAGATAGATAGATAGATAGATAGATAGATAGAGATAGATAGATAGATAGACAGATAGATGTGTCCAGGGTGGACAGCATTCTCCCTTCCTTATGTCACAAAATCAGCAGGAACTGATTTTGCTGGGGGTGGGGGGAATGAGTGGAGGCGGAAGGGGGGGTGCTGGAGATCAAACACAGAAAGTTGAAACTGCTAAGCATGATGCTTTACCACCAAGCTATTTATTCTCCCAGTCCCTGATTTGATTTTTAGACTGCAGATTACCTCTTCATTGAAAGGTCAAGTTTAAAACTTTTAATTAATCAAAAAATACTGAGTAATTTCCTTGTTTTCAAATATGAAGTATTTTAATGATATTCCATTCTACACAAAATTTTACCAAATTAGAAACATACCTGTTGCAACATGCATTCCAGAAGTACTACCCTAGCTATCCTAATACACATCTAATTTGGAAAGGGACAGGAATAGCATGTAGCACACTGGTCATTACGAAGTAGTTATTTAGATGGCTTGATGCTTTACCACCAACCTACTCTGACAATTCAGATTTAAAGGACTCAAATGTTCCTTGTAATGAGTGTTCCTATAAGGTCTATCTGTCATCAAAAAGAAAATAGAGATATGCTCTCCTTTATGTAGATTACTCTGTAAGAGTATCTAAATATTTACTGATTGAACAATAAAATAAATCCACTATTAAGAAATTTTTATAGTGGAATGGGCAGCTAGTATGTAAATTTTCAGAAAAGTTTGCAATACCTGAGAAAAGTAGACATGGCAGGATAGCCAAAAAACCAACTCAGATTAAGACTTTTAAAACTTTATACAAAAAAAAACAATCATGATCACTTAAAAATGAGAATTAAGATCTTTCTGTAAAAAATACAAATCTATTTCATTTCTGACACAGGATACACAAGCCAATAGTTATGTTCTCTTGTCTTTTACAGTAATTCCTATGGATTTGCAACCACAAGTGAAAGACAGGTTAATTTTTTGTTTTTCTTAATGTAATTGGTAGATTGTATTTTCAATTTCTTGAAAGTATTTCAAGGAGTATTAAATACTCAGTTAAACACTGATTATTCATGTTGACAATAGTAGATAAAGCTCAATATAGTTCTTTATATTTTAGCTAGTTTCATTGCAAACTCTAGTATAATTTGTCATTACCGCTCAGAGAACTAACTAAAATGCGGTTAAAGAAACTAAGATTAGCAAATCCTAGGTACTAGTTTATATTAAGTTCTTATAAAAGTCGAAATGTAAAACAAAAGTTAAGTAAAAAATCGGTGTTACCAGTCTTATAAACATAACCAAACCTGCTATATGGTTCCAAAGCGCAACACAAAACCTTAACTTTCAACCTTAACATTTCAGAACTACAAAATACAAGCACTGAATTCACCCAGTCACGCAAAAGATTTCAACCCCTCAGAAACTTTAATTCAGTGCAGAAAAGCTAAGAGTCAGAAAGAAATAAAAACAATAAACAAGGAAAAAAAGTTACATCGTTTGACAATTGCCAGGCTTTTACAGAAATCCAAAAATTTGTCTATTTTCCAACACAATTAACACAGAATAATTTATATGCAAAAGAGCATGTTTGGATGCAATCGCTTATTAACATACATTCTACTTACTTTCCTTTCTGCCATTTATAAGCTTCATTAAAGAGACCCCAAAAGAGGAAATCGGCTATGTGAAGATAGGCTCAGATAAACTGGATCTACAAATTTACATTCCAGAACGTCCAGCAGGGAAAGTACCCTTTACAAGCTACCATTATATATGCCAGGTTCGATTGTGAAATAATGCACTTCTGGCTTTCGACTACACATTACAATTACACTCAACTCTACCACCCCACCATGCATGAAAAAAAAAAAAATCCACCTCCAATCCCTATTGGTTCACCTAGTTCCGGCCCACATGGTATCAGAAGGTGTGTCCCTCCCAATAGACCATCTGATTGGCTGCAAAGAAACAAGGCTTAATAGGCTGTGATTTGGGGGATTGTCAGAGTCCACGCCTCCAGAGTTGGGCTCGCCAACAGACCCAAGACACTGGCGGTTACTGTGCCTGCTGCGCTCGGAGAATAAGTCAGCCTCCGTGGTGCCGCAAGCTCGCTCTATCCACACTCAAGCTCGCTCTATCCACACTCAATGATCCCACCAAATGCTCACTGAGTGCATTTTCCCCGCGACCAATCAGAATGGCTGGCTGTGCGTCCGCCTCTGTAGAACCGCGGCCCCTCGGTGTCCAGTCGGCCCATTATGCGGGTAGGACCAAGCAAGGGGACAGGCTCAAGCAATGACCTTTAGTACTGGGCGTCCTAGGAAGCGTCCGTCCCGAGCTGCCCTCTCGATCGCGGGCGCACACGGTGCGCCGCAGCTCCAACCCACGCTGTCCCCAGTCCCCAAACCCTGCGCCAGCCTCGCGCCGACGCTCCCCTCCGGCGGGACTTACGCGGCCGGTTCTTCTTCCCGGAGTCCATCCTCCTCCGCAGCCGGCATTTCTTGGCCGGAGAGTCATGCTGCGGGAGCAGCGGCGGCGGCTGGAGCTCCGGCAGGAGCAGGGGGCGCGGGGGCGCTGCGTCACCGCCACTCGCGGAGCCCTGGCGGCAGAAGAGCTGCTGCTGGATTGGCGGCTGGTGGAAGCCGTTGTGCAGCAGCCCATTCACGGCGGCGACGCCGGTGCCCGCGGCCGCCCCTGGGGAGTGCGCGGCCGGGCGCTCCGGCTGCGCGCCGCGGTCACCCATGCCCAGGGCCGGTGGAGCAGCGCGTGGGCTTCGGCTCAGGCGGCCTCCCTGGAGGTCATGCTCGGATGTCTTTCTTTCCTCAGATCCACCCCGCTGCTTCCGACTCAGCAGCCGCAGAGCCGGCGCCGGGGGATGGCGAGCTGGGCGCTCCTCCCCTTCTCCCGCCGACTCCCCCACCTCCCCCACGCCCTGCCCCCCGCGCGGCGACCCCGCCGCGCCCGCCCGGAGCATTTCGGCCTCCGGCGCGGAACTGGGGATCTCAGCGCAGCCCCAGCCCGGGCCTCTACGGCCCGCCTCCCTTTGATCCCCAGGCCTTGAGACTTCAAATGCAGCTTCTTCCTCGCCTCTCGGACCTGTCCCCGCCACTGAGCATGCCCAGTTCTGCCCGCCACCGACACCGACGAGTTTCAACATGGGGAATGAAGTTCGCAGGGCTTGCAAAGAGGAGATGGGCGGACTGGGCTTTGTATGGCAGAGCCAGCCGAAAGGGTACTGGGTGAGGTAGGCTCGAAGAGAGCCAGCAGCTTTAGAAGGAATGCAGGAGAAAAGCCAAATGTTTGCAGAGGTCTGAGGTTTGCTAATCCTGTCCCCAGTGGGCTAGGTACCTTTGCAAGGTCATTCATGTTGCTACCCCACGTATAAATGTGTGTGTGTGAGAGAGACAGCGAGCGAGAGAGACAGAGACAGAGACACAGAGACAGAGAGAGACAGACACAGGCACAGACACACAGAGAGAGACAGAGAGAGACCCCACTCTCACGTTTCCTGAAGTGACCAAACTACTCAAGGCCTGAGGGCAAGGAGGTTATTTATAGAAAGGGAGACAGACTTGCACATAAAAGCACATAGAGTGCATTGCCTTTTGCAGAGAGGAAACCTGGGAATACAGTGAAGGGCAAAAGCAGGCAGGATTTCACCTGGTGCTGGAAGAGACCTTGTAAACAGAAGTAATCGCAAACTATAAAAAGCTCTTTCCTCACCCAGAAAGAACTTGGAGAGACAATATCATGTTATTTATAGAGCAAAGTTGCCTCTGGCTTTAAGAAGGGAAAGCAGCATTATAGGGTGGTCATCATTTAGAGTTAGCCTTGGGATGCAGTTCCAACTTAGCCACTAAGCAATCCACATAAAGTCTTGCTCAACACACCTGGCAGTAGGGATCCACTCTGAGTATGCTCAGTAGGAAGACAAATTTCGGGGAGAGGAGGGTGAGGATCTTAACAAAGTTATATAATTCCTTGAGGGCTCTGTTTTTGATATGTTAATAGGGTTGTTTGTTTTACCTAAAAGTATTGTTACAATCTTGACACAATCTAGGTTCTCAAAAGAGTTGTATAAAATTTTGAACAGAGTGGTAAAGACTTTGGGCTAATATGTACAAGGCCTTTGGTTCAAATTCCAGCACTAGGAAGAAGAAAAATTATAGGAAGTCATTGTTTTAGACTAAAAGTCAAAATGGTATCATTGATACTAAAATTCCAAATCACCAAACTGAATAGCTGTTTGACTTAAGAAAACCAGGATTAGAGATAATAGAAACCCAAATATGTCAACTTCTATGGTCAAAATAGTTAATTTGCCCCTGCCTTCATCCTTTCCTAAGAGAAGAAAGAATATCAAGCTATCAGTTTAAAAACAAATTCTTCTGTCCCCACCTTACAAGGGAAGTAACTTTGAAATGATCGATTTACTTTGTTTTTGTTTCTGTCTTCTTCAAACCCTTCTCTGCTTGAAGAAAGACACTCATCTGCTTGGCCCATTGAAATACTTCTATTTCAGGGAATGAAATGTCCAATCCTAGAATTGAAAATAATGCCAATTAATTAAGGTCATTAAATTGTCAGGTTTATCCTTTGACAGAAGATAGTTGTTATGTTTGAAACTCACCCTTCCTTTCAAGTCAAGGGAAACAAGGCATACAGGAGATTGTGTGTGATATTTTCCATCATTTGTACCACATCTACAGAGGGGTCAGAACCTGGCAAAGATTGGCTGGCCACTGCACTGCCATGCCCCGTGGCACTGTACTTTCAGCAGTATCTAGGGTTTATATCCTTGTTATGGGCTTTTTTTTCCTCCTGCAGAAGAATGTAAAATCAGAGATATTGAACCATTGGGACCACTCACTTGAGAGCACATGCTTCTACTTCTTTATTTCAAATAAGGAAATAGCTAAGAGAAACAGCTAAGGTGATTGAGGACAAATCAGGACTCAACCATAATTCTCAACTATCTGCTTCTTTGATCTTATACTACTTGAAAGCATAGAGAAATCTTCCTAGCTGATCTAGCCCTTATCTACCTCTCCCTCATCACTATTCTCCATGAGCTCCTTTCAGTTCTTTACAACTTGAATCCTCCCCCCCCCATTCTCTCCTATTTCCCATCTGCTTCTTTATTTTTAACTATAAGATACATCCATTCCATAATCATAATTAAGACAATACTGGAAGAATTCACATAGGAGCCCAGTACAGTGCTTTGAAACAATAACATATTATTTAGTTACTATTCCCTCTACCCCCCACTCTACTGGGTACTGTAAGCTTCACTAAGGCAGATAACTCTTAGTCATCATTGCATCTCTCAGAAGCTATGGGTAACCATTTGTGACTAAATAAGTGACTTACATCCTCACTTTCTACTGAAAATTTGCTAAAAATCCCTATTTCCACTTTCAGTATTCAAGCATTTACTGTTCAAATTCCCATATCTTGAACTGAGTCGGCTAGGAAGCAACTTACATCAAAGATGCAAATGGAAGCTTTGCTATTGCTGTGTCTCCAAGGACATATTCTCTTCAGCTTGATTCTCAAGCATGGTGAAGGAGGTCTGAGCCAAGTGGCTCATACCCAGATAGATCAGAAGTCCTAGTACAGGGGACAGAATGTCTTAGACCTGGCCTTCTTTCCTCTCACCTTTGACAAGCTGGTCCCTGGATCAGTTACAACCTGAATGTAATAGGAAGGAGTTAGGTGGCATCCCACAGGTTTATTTATGGGTGTGTGTAGGTGGTGAACTTTGAGCTATAATGTGCTCTTAGAGTAGTCTGGAACAAACAGTGTTTGGAAGAGAATGAGAGCAACCCACAAGCCACTTTTCTGTCTGTTCCTTGGCCATTAATTTATCAATCATTAAGTGTGGACAGTGTGGTAAGTCCTAATACAGGTGGCTGGAATACAAGCACAAATTAGATGCCTATATTGCCTTCAAGAGGCTTTATTTATTTATTTTATTAAATAAATCGAAAAATTTATTGCTTTTCCAAAATCAGTGTCACCTAGGAATAACCTAAAGTTTTAAAGTTTTTTTTTTGTTGTTGTTTTTTAAGAGATGACATTTGCTATGTTCTCTTATGGTTCAAGCAATCCTCCTGTCTCCACCTCCCTAGTAGCCTGGACTACAGATGTGTGACATCGCGCCTAACTCTGTGTATGTGGGTGGGGAAGGAGGTGAGGTTGTAGAGTGCAAACTGTAAGCCAGCAAGCAAATAGGACCAGGTCTGGGGACAAATTTCAATAACAAGTAGCAGCAAGGCTACATAGTTGGAATTTTATCTACTAGACTTGGAGGTAGGAGTATTTTTATGATGCAAATTTAAGGAAGAAAAGCTAAGTTGTTTACATTTATTAACTGCTAGGCAGGTACTTTCAGGCCAGTACTGCTGGCCCTTTAAGTAACTGTTATCATTCATTCAAGTTCTTTTCTTTAGATGGGGCCCTCTAGAGAAACCTACTAGAATCCAACCAAAATCAGAATCGTTCTGACTAAAATAAGCTTTGCTCATTATCATAATAAATTCTTCACCATGACGCATTCTCATCTCCCATTTTTTTAACATGAAATGCATGAAGAAGTATAACTTCCAACTGAGTATACTCAGGAATGTGAGGACAAGTTTTGCATGTATGAATATGCATGTTTCTCCAATAAATGACCCTGGTCTTTTTTGTTCAGGGAAATATACTGCTAAGTGTGCTCTCCTTACTTATACCAGTAATAGTCTTTTTCTTCACTCTTTATCCCCTGGTTATGTCTATTGGCTTTGTACTTACCAACAAGTGATTCTTGGATGTTTGTTTACACCTCACAGCCTCTTGAAATTAAACTTAGGACATTTGAGAATGGTTCTTTAGTGGTTCTAAAAGAATTTATAGTATCATGAGTTTGTGACTAGCCTGAGCAACAAGGGAAAGGAAGGAAGGAAGGAAGGAAGGAAGGAAGGAAGGAAGGAAGGAAGGAAGGAAGGAAGGAAGGAAGGAAGGAAGGAAGGAAGGGAGGGAGGGAGGGAGGAAGGAAGGGAAGGAAGGAGACTAGGTCTAAATAACATGGACTTGTTCTCACAGCCATCCCAAGCCTTGCAAGGTGGAAGGGGCTTTCTACCCAGTTCTGAGAAGCCATTCATTGAATTGCAGATGTCATGCTGTTTAGAATGTTGGCCCTACATCCTAGATGAATTCAGCTACATATTACAAATCCCCAGCCTCATTCTTCCAAGATTCTTATTTTCATATCCAACAAAAAAAATAGTGTTGAAAAAACAGTGATAACACACCATTACAGACCATTGCTAGTTTTGCAGATTTTCTGGAACCAAACTCCACCTTTTAATGATGTATCCTCATGAGA